ATTTTTGAAACTGCCACAAAGCCCACACGCTTGGCTCACTTTTGACAAGGTGCAGAGTCCATTGCGCCTGCCACACAAAACGACGCTTGAAGTCCAAAACTGGTCCGAACATGCGGTGCTTTACCATTTTGACTTGGAGATGTGCTTCGCACCACAACGGCATAGACTTTTTCGATATCTCAACTTCCAAAAGTTGGTCCGAACATGTGGTGCTTGTGGGACTTTGACTTCCAAACGTGCTTCGCGCGACAGCAGCGTGCACTTTTTCGACATCTGAACTTCCAAAAGCGCTCCGACCCTGAGGAGGTTTTAAGAGTTTGACTTCCAAACGTGCTTCGCGCCACAACCCCGTGCGCTTTTTCAACATCCCAACTTCCAAAAGTGCTCCGAAACTGACGTGCTTTCAACAGGCTTCGAAACGCGCTTCACGCCACAACGGCATACACTTTTTTGAGCATCTCAACTTTCAAAAGCGCTCTGAACCTGAGGTGTTTTTATCCTTTTTTGCTTCCAAACCCGCTTCGCGCCAGCGCGCAATTTTTCATGTCAAACAGATGGCTCCGCACCCGCTGCTTTAGCTAGCCTACTTTTCGGAGCCACAAAATATTGGAAAGACACAGCGTTTTGCGACTTGTCTAGAGTCTACCTTTTTGCGAATCTGCATCTTCTTTCTTCTGACCCTTTCTCTTCTCTGATCTTCTTTCTTCTTCCTTCTCTTCTCTGACTCTTCCCACCTCCATACTGTTGCAGGTTTGACTGCTAAACTTCCTTCGCTCATGCAAGCACCTCTGACAGGATTTCATCAAAATCTTCGCAAAATCTTCTCACAAGGACCTCTACAAGACCTCGTTCCAGATCTTCACTACCTCCGGACCTGTAAGACTGCAACAAGAAAGTCTTGCAAGATCTTCAAAGAAGGCCTTCCGGAGAAATCACAAGATCTCCTTACCAGAATCTCATGGGAATCAGCTAAAATAGCTAAAATCAGCACCGCGCCGCAGCGAGAGCGTTCCGACACGCACAAACTGTCGAGAAGGTGCGCGAGCCATGTCCACATTCGCACCACGCCACAACGGCGCGAAGAAAGTCATGAGGGGGTTGCGCGAGCGATATCAAAATTCGCACCGCGCCACCCCGACAGGGATCTGACACGCACAGGGTCACGAGAGGGTTGCACGAGCACATGTTAGATTTTTTCACAAAACAGTGCGCGCACCACGAACAATGAACATTGAAAATGTCAAAAACGATGTTTTACCTAAGGTATCAGCCACTTTTTTGTCGAGGTCTACAAAGTACTGCGCCCGCCACGAAAAGTGAGCCCGAGGCATCCGAAGTGCTGCACCTGCCACACGGAACCACCATCATGTCCAAAATCAAAAATGACGACAGTTTCACAAAACGAGACTTTCGAACCTTTCAAAGTGCATCCATGTTCACCAAACACTGCGCCTGCCGCCTGCCACGCAAAATGATTTTCACCCACGCCTGCCAACGCTTTAGCAACGCGCCGAGAATGCCATGGCTGCCACGCGCCGAGTCTTGCACCTGCCATGGAAAGCGACGTTCCAGACTTCAAAATGCCCCAGATGCCCCACGCCTGCCACACGAAATGGACATAGCTCAAAAAACGAGCATGGCGCGGTAGTAAAACGAGACCTTCGGAGGAGCCAAAACCTAGCCCCTGATCGTGTGCAAGCCTGCGCGGTCGACATGCACATGGACATCTCACAAGCAAACTTTACGCGAGAATTTAAGCAATGAAAAGGATTGAAAAAGCCGGGGCCAGAGAGCATACCATGATCTAAGACTGGCCTTTGGCTCCTACAATAAGAACCCCTCAGCGTGGACACACGGCTTAGGGAACTTGCAGAAAAACCATTCCAAACAAATAGTGCGAGATCAACTCTTTGAATTTTGAAGCACGAGACATCTCGAATTTCGACTACTCAATGGATGCGCACCTGGAGGGCATGGAATTTCTCTTTGGCCTCTTCGAGCTTTTTGGAGCTCACAGCATTCCACTCTTCGCGAGGTGTCTGCATCAGTGTCCACCGAAGTTCCTCGAAGGAGGTGTCGTTGGATACAAGTGTGGCCTGGCGGGCAACGGGTCACAAACCCGTCACAATGATCACACGGCCCAGCCAGACTCTAGAGTCTCGACTCTAGACTCTAGACTTTTCTGGAGTTTCCTTAGAAAAAAATAGCATCAACCTTGGCACAGAAAACACAGTGTATGGACCTACTTTGTTCATCTTTGCTGTGTATATCCAAATCCTTATTGGCTCCGGGAGGAGAGCCTTGCTGGGGAAGTTTCTCTGCCCTCAAGCAACTTGAGCATGCCTTTCCCTCAAAGTCCGACAACTCCTCTATTCTTTGACAAACAGTTGATAGAAAGCAGGCAAGATGGAACCTGAATGAGACTCTATCTGAAACTGTTGCGAAGGACTATTTCTACAATAATTCGGAGAGAAGCAGAGGCTGTCCAAAGAGAGAAAAATTACAGCGGCGAGAGACCCCAAACAGTGTAGGAGGTAGGAAGTCAATGTACCAGATATAAGCAACAGTAGTTCTGGAACAGTAACAGATGAAGTTAGGAAGTTAGACAGTAAGTTAGACATGATCGCAACTGCAACCTTCTATATAGATCTATGTAGAGGAGCTCGTAAGATCTTCATACAAGAACTTCCTATGAGCAGCCACAGAACTTTCATACAAGCAGCAACGCAGAGGATCTTCAAGATCTTACAGCGATGACCTCTTGAGGAGGATTCCAACAGGATCTCCAGAAGACCTGCATACCAGATCATGTAAAGACACCGAGAGGATGTCAGCACGACCTCTGCAAGACCTTCGCGCAAGGACCTGTGCAAGATCATGCAAAGGCCTCTGACAGCATTTCACAAGGGTCTCCACAAGATCTCCGCACCAGGAGTTGTAAAAGACCTTGAGCAAGATCGCGACCGCACACTGTGCGCGAGCCTGCGCACTCCAAATTCACATGGACATCTCACGAGGGTAGTTTTATGCGAGAATTTACAGGAAAAATGCTGCTTCCCGAGAATTTAGGCCTACGTTTTGTGCGGGCCTGCGCAGTCGAAATGCACATGGACATAGCAGAAGATCCAAGTAAAATGCCGCAGATCAAGATCAAGGAAAACTCGCGCGGCAGATTGTTTGCGAGCCTGCGCAGTCGAAATGCACTTGGACATGTCGCAATTTTGTGCGAGAATTTATAGGAAAAATGCCGCGCCCAGATGGAGCACCCTGATCAAGCACTGGCCTTTACTCCTACCCGCAAGAACCCCTCAGTGTGGACACGCTGTTTGGGGAAAGAAAGAAGAAATAACATAAATAGCAGAATTAGCTAAAACATGCTAAAACCATCTAAAACTACGCCTTCAAAAAAACTGAGCGAAGCCATCGTGATGTCTTGTAATGCTTTCGCCTGATTGTCGCCAAAGCTGGTGAGCTGCCATCCCACTTTGCGCAACAAATCCATCGGGTTGTCCTGAAAGCTCTGCCACCACGACGCGCTGATGGCAAAAAATGGCAAAGACTATTAGCGTCTATTCTATGCTGTGCTGTTCTAGCCAAGCGAAGCAACGTAAAGCAAAGCTTCGCAGATGTTTGATTTCAACATCAAGCTTTGACCGAGAAGTTCAAACACTTTGAACCTGAGGAATTGTGAAAGCTAGTTGCTGCGCTTGGTAAATTCAATTCGCAAGTACAAATAATCCTGCAAAAGTTGCAGGTCGATTGCCCGACATTGTACCATATTCTACCCACTTGCCTGGCTGGCGGCTACAGGAGGGGCCGAAGCCGTAGACGGCATAGACCTTCCATGTCCTGCTTGAGCGCCACTTACTCCGTTCGCACCATTTGCTCCATTGGTCGGCGCGGACAGAAATGGCGATGGGGCCTTTGAACTTCCGAAAGGTGACGCCGCTGCCGCTGACGCCTGAACATTTTGCGCAAACTGTGATTCGGAGGGCCGACTTTGGGAAACCGAAGCTTTTGGAGCGAAGGAACTGTGACTGGATGGAGCTGCGAAAGGCGAGGCTTGAGAACTGGTGAAGGGCGAGGGTCCAGCAGTCTGGACGCCCTGTGAGAAGGGAGACGCAGTTTGTGCGGTCTGTCCAAATGGAGATGGTGTGGTGGTGCCAGTGGTTGCAAAGGGTGAAGCACCAGTTGCAATGGCGCCCGCAGCAAAAGGGGACACCGACGGTGCTGTCGTAGCCGAGGCAAAAGGCGAAGCCGTGGTTGATGGTTGAGCTCCGAATGGTGACGCAGTGGTTGCTGTGTTTCCTAGCGAAGGAAAGTGGACGGCGAGTGGAACACGAGTGGGACACTCTGCCAACAAAGGGAGTGCGCTATGTCCTCTTAGTTTCCTAACGAGCCAACGCTCTGTTTTTATCTGTTTTCATCTCTCTTTCCTCTTGACTCTGGGACCGAACGCTCCTGCATTTGCAAATGGCGAAGCTGCTGCCGGGCAAGCACCAAACGGGGAAGCCTCAGAATTCTCCAAAAAACGAAATACTGCGAAATACTGTGAAATACTAATTCTCCAAATTTTCTGCTTTTGGTTCATGTTAGTTGATTCTCGCCTAGCTTTGCTTGGCTTGAGCAGCTGAGCCTTGACTCCAAGGCACGCTTATTGCTCCTGCAAAGGCGCCTTGCCGTGACCTGCAAAGAAGAACCACGGGGCTTTGTGTCCACCACAGGCTCACCAAATAGTGTTCCATGACCTTCTAGTAAGATTCCGGTACTTCATTTATATCCAAAGCTGATGATGAAAATACTCTCCAGTCGACACCACCACTACATTGCCGCCACCGACCGCTATACCATACCGAAATCTTAGAGCTTATCATGCTGGCAGCGCTATGGCTCTGTGGCATTCTGTGGCTGGGACATTTCAGATTTCAGTCCAAGTGATTGGACAAGTTCAAGTAATGCCACAGTAGTTCAAGTAGTTCAAGGCCATCCGAGGCGACAGACGCGACATCGTAATCTCAGCATAATAATTGGTTGTGAAGATGTCTGCTTGACCTGTTGGCATACACACGCGACATGCTGCGTCTCATACACAACCTTTAACATACTGTTGGCTCGGACCGCCTATGCAGTGAGAAAAAGGTTGTCATGACTGCCCTCTCTCCTCTCTCTCATTGACGCTGGAATAGCCAATAAAATCACAAGCACCAAGAAAGTGGGACACTCCTGAGGAAACATTTGACGGGCAAATTGTCCAAACAACTTGTCATAAGTAATTAATTTTGAATCAATGCCTGAGTAGTCTTTCTTTTCAGCCTTTGTTTGTCAAAGCTGTGACGAGCCAAAATCGGGTCAGAAGGCATACATAACAAATACCCCTGCTTGTGCAGCGAAACTTGGCACAGCTGGTCAGTCCGCATAGGTGAAATTTGCGATCTTCTCTTCGTTTGCCAAGTACCTCGTGGCAAAACAAAGAGACTTCAAGGCTCTGAGAAATGCAGCACAACAAAACTCAGGTCTCACGGTCTCACATTAAGTCTGTTCATCTTTCACAATCTTCAAGAGGCTCTTTTGCAATCTTTTTGCGTTTCCTTCCAAGGCTGGCACTCCACATTCATGCGGAAGTCGCGATTCTCCCTGGTGGAAGGTGGCGCCGTGTCAAACCTGAAGTGCAAACGACACTGGAGCTCGAAAGTCTCTGCATCTAATGTACATATGACATATGTTTCTATACGTATACATTTTATATATGTATTTATTTATTCATTCATTCATTCATTCATTTATTTATTTATTTATTTGTGTGTTTGTTTGTTTGTTGGTTTGTTTGTTTATTATTTATTTATTCATCCGACTAGTAGCTATATTTGCAAATGTTCGAATGAAATTCTGGATCCAAGCAAAGTATCTGATCAGATTCTGTGCTGCCCACGAGGATACTAACTAGGGGCTACATGCTGTTTCTAGGGGATACCAACTGTGTTAAGACTTCACCCTGGCGCTGCCTCTTCATAAGAGAGGGGTACTTCAGCGCCAAAGGATGCCACAAACGGAGAGTTTTGAAGAGCTCCTTCCTCAAGTTCCGAAGAGCCACAAAAAAGCATCTCATCTGACTGAATCTTGCTGCCATGTTTCTGTCTTGTCTTTGACATGAAAAGTCAGATATGATATGGAACAATGTATTTTCAATGGTCTTGGTCCGGCAAACACAACGATGGTGAACGCATCATTTTGAAATCCAGTGCATGCCAAAGCCGCTGTTTCAGGATAAGTTTGCGCTTGTGGTCCGCACATTCATGACGTCGTTTGTCCTCAGTTCTAGTCGTGACCCTAAGGATCACCGCGAATACACTATAAAGTGTGACACACCACATCTGCCTGCCTCAGCGACTGAGAGAACGTTCCCAGCTTGACTGAGATGCGTTTCTCTTTCTTGAAAGCCGAGCTTCAGAAAAGGGCAGAAGATGGCGGCCCCACCTTGACTTCACAGCTCTATTTGCATCCGTTCAATAGAATCTAGTCACGTCAAAGAATGTGGTGAAGATATCCAAACCACGGTCATTGCACTCGTCTTTGCCGTTGATGGCATCATGGTTTCACGTCTTCCTGAAGCCAGCACCCCCAAGCTAACTCCTCGACCTGGCGATCTCCATAGAAGAATCTGGATGAATAAAGAACGATGAAGAACTTCGGTATTCTACACGTGATGTGCGGATATGGAATGATATGATACAAGATGATACGAAATGTGCGTGTATCTATATATATATACACGATATATAATGTATATGGTGTTTATACATATACATGTATACTGTAATATATATATATAATATATATATATATTATATATACATATATAATATATATATATATTATGTATACACAGTAGTATATGTATTTATACTTGTGGACTGACATGGAATGACTTGAAATATGGAAGCATTTGTGCGAGCCGTGCCAGGCGCCTCGTCCAGGAATTCTTGGTCTGTCATCGGCATGAGTTCATCCAGAGCGGCCGTCCTCTCCTTCAGCCACGTTGCCTGGGCAGTCGAACTCTGGATAAGTCATTCGTTTCGTGATGAAACGGACAGGGTCACACAGGTCACACTTGCACAAATTTCACAAATTGTGAGTGTGTCTTGAAGCAGTTTGACAGACCTGCTCCTCCTCTGTCATCACAGTTTCTTCTCCACAAGGCATTCTAGTGTCCTGCAGAGGAAATACTTGGCGAGTAGTAGATTTCCGAAATGCAAACGCGCCTCTTTAGGTTTTGAGAATTTGCAATGAGTCAAGTTTTTGCAGTCTGCAACTGTTCTCAAGCACTGCATCAAGACAATCTGAGACCGCTGCAAGGTTGTAACTACCCGAGGAGCGACGTTGCACAGCAGCTCTACCCTGCCAACGCATGTCCGACGACAATCGAGGGAACTGACAAATGACAGCGTCGAGAGAAAGAACTGGGAGCAATGGAAGGGACGCGTTCTGCATGCAGTCACTTTGACCGAAAGCTGACAACACAAAGTTCAGCCTTTTTTATTGAAAGCCTTCTTGATAATGAAAAACTACTTTAGACTTTAGCAGTAACCGAAAGTTTTTATAACATCATATAGTGTCTATATATAGGTATAGAAATGTATACTGTATACAGTTATAAGTCATAAATTATAAACTACTATAAAGCACTCCAAGCCAAGCAAAGGCCCTCACCGCCGCAATGAAGCCCATTGTGGCAGCCAAACCCACCTGCTGATTGCAAGAATTAAAAACGCGCCAATGGGAAAACCACACAGCCGCGCATGTCTAGCAAATCTGTAGCGCACGGGAAAGGAAACCAAGTAAACATCCAAACTAGCCAAACAAAAGAACGAAGAAATACACAAGAAGCACACGAGTCATCCTATGAGTTGCACAAATTCCAAGAGCCACATAGGAGACTGCACTCAGTCGACTAGTCGACAACTGCCAATGCGCTGGGCATCCCTTCTGATCTTGCCATGATTTTCTTCTCATCGACATAGTCTGAGCATGCCACCACTGGAAGCATTCCGTAAACACCAGAATCAGAGGTCCTTCAAGCAAAGCGTGCGGAAACGTCTTAGCACTCTGAGACACTCTGGGCATGGCAATTTATCAATGTTTTTGAACAAGGAGTCAGAGAATGCGTGGTAATCACAGAACCTCCGTGCCACATGCAGTTTTGATATGTTTTGATATGCTTCGATTTGGTCCGTCCCTTCCACCTAAACTTTAATGCCTCGAACACTCCCTTTGTACTTTGCAGGGGAACTCCAAGGTACAGTTGCGCAACTGTGAGGCACAGAAACAATATGTATAACATATTAACATTTAGGACACGGTTCATATAAACATTTAGTGTCTACTTTGCTGTTTCGCACGCTTTGTTGCACATTGCCACTCGCAGACCTCATCGGGGCCAGGCGTGGCTTCTCCGGGCTCAGCTTGTCAACCGGTCGGCCCACCTTGAGCAACTGCAAGGGTTCTGTCAATGCGTACACAACGATATAAGTTATGATAAAACTTTGGGGTGTTCGGAGTTGAAGGGTAGGCCGGGTAAGCATAAAGTCCACATTGCTCAACTATTACACGCGCGCACTAGCAAACAAACGGAAAAAGAATTTGTGGGCCTCCAAGCCTGCAAGCTCCAAGTAAGTGACGTTTTTGCTATGAATTAGTCTGTATATGTCTGTATCAAGAACGGTGTTGTGTAGACATGGCAGGAGATTGAAACACATTGTCATCTAAGGCCAACAAGCCCAACGTGGCCCTGATGCAAGCTCGACATCACCAAGATTGAACTAAATAGCAAATCTTTGAAAGACATGTCTAAACAGCACGCAAAAAAATGAGTCGATTTGAAACATTTGGTAACTAGTCGGTGCTCGATTACCAGACGGCCATGTTACCATGTTGCTTCCAGGCCATCTTCAAGAACAAAACTGTCGTTTCACTGCACTAAAATGAGATGTTTTTTTTCCAGTCCTGAAATTGATATAACTCTTGAAAATCTCCCCGGCCTTCCGACCTACGTCATGTTTGCCTGATTTGGGTTATTTGAAGATCATGTAGTGGATCTGACTTGTCCCACTGCTCTTTGCTGTGCATTTTCCTCACCATCGCGCACGAGCTGCTTTGACAATGTTCGCCGAACCTTCGCAGGATTTTTGCGCCCTTTGGCCAAACGCCAGTGATACATCATCACATGTTGTTTGATATCACGATGTTCCTTACAAACACGACCTCTGCCCAAGCGACGTGGGAAGTAGGCTGGGGTATTTTTTTCAATCCAAGCCACGGCCTTTCAAAAGTGACTAGAGCAACAGCAAAACTATATGAAAACGTAGCAGCAGAAAGAGCAAATGACGTAACAGCAACCCTGTGGCAAAGTAGCAGCATCCAAAACAAGTAGCGTGATAGCAACACTACGGCAACGAAGCAGCAGCAAAGGTGACTAGAGCAACAGCAAAACTATATGAAAACGTAGCAGGAGAAAGAGCAAGTAACACCAGAAAAACCCTGTGGCCACGTAGCAGCAGGAAAAACTAGCGGTAACTAGCGGCGTAATGCCTGTGTATGCGCGCAGCCGGATGCATGCACACAAAATAAACACACAAAGACAAGACATGATTGCCACCCTCCCAAACCCTTCAAAATCCCACCCACCCACCCCAAAAGGTAGAAAGGTGATGTTTTGCCACGGCCGTCTAGGGGTCGGCAACTGTCACCTGCAAACCACCGGAGTGCAAAACTGCTATGCCAAGATGTAACAACAACATCACAAGACGGTTGTGCACCATCAGAATTCGGCACTTGCAGACCTCATACCTAGATGGCTCGCATCTTCAGTACCAAGGAGCCGATGGCTGAGATGTTTGCAGTTTTGTCTCTTAGTTCCATACTTTGAGCCCGATCCAATCCCAAAGAGCGAAGGACTCAAACATGCAAAAAAGAAACATGAAGACATCTGGGCTCCTCACAACCA